TGCAAGTTTATATTTATGTGTGCTATGGCGAAAAGAGAACACAATAGACAGTTATTCTGTAACTTTAATTGTGTTATGTAAGAGGCATTTTCTACTGTATACACTGGAAGCATAGAAAATATAAACTCTGAAAATAAATACTGCTTCGTATATAAAGGGACTGCATCTGGCTCCTGTCAGTCATTACGGTGCCACCCCCTCTGATGGTATCTGTGAGGGCCACACATCCCTTGTGACGCCCCTGCCTGCAATACTGCCCCTACTCCCTACTAAAGCTCCAAACCCCCACATACCCCCCACAATACAATTCCATACCCCCAATACTGTTTAAAATGTGCATATATATACGTTGCTGAATAGTGCACAAGTTGTTTTGTGTAATAAATGAAAATGGCTCAGAAATGAATCATTTTTGGGTCACGACTTAATGACCAAGGAAAAATGTGGGTCCCGAGGTTACACAGGTTGAGAACCACTGATCTATACGTTCCCAGTGATGACAACAGTAGAGAAGAGTTTATACGGTGACATTTCTTGTGGTAAAAGTGTGTGTAAAGTGTATGGAAGCGTTTGTTATACAGTATATCCAGAAAAAAAGTCAGAAATGAAATAAACTGAATACATTCTGTGCTCTCTGCCCCTGCTGGCTTTCCTCTCTATGGATTACGGAACATCTCCACCTATGTTACGGAGATGAGGAGGGGGGTGTTCTGTAGTCCTAACTAGAGGTCCACCAAAAATTTTAAAATGGAAAATTTGTAAAAATTTCAAACCGAAACTTATTTTTTTTCTAACCTTTTTTCTAACTTTACTGCTTGTGGCTTCAGACCCCTGATATTTGCCTTTTAAAATAGTAAAAGAGATTGAGGACAAGTAAAGTCCTCAATCTCTTTTTCTGCATCCCCTGTTATAAATGAACAGTGTTCCTGTTCATTCATACATTGTGGACATAGTATAAGTTACTATGTCCACAATTATGAATGAACAGGAAGTGATGTAGATCACTTCCTATTCATTCATGACTGGTACATACCGTGTTTCCCCGAAAATAAGACAGTGTCTTATATTTTTTTGAGCTCAAAAAAACACACACTAGGTCTTATTTTTGGGGTAGGTCTATTTGTTTTTGTTTTTTTAATATACAACATTCCACACTTATTCATGTACAAAAATATGGTGATCAGGGCAATCAGGGGTGCCGTACCTTTCCAAGAGCAATTTGCTAACCAATCGTTGGCCAGAATGAGCGAAGCGCGCTTTTACTATGGATACCTCACAGGCGGAGTGCATTTGGTATCACTCCGCATGTGGCAGGAGCCGGCGCTATAGAGGAGGTATCGGCTTATGCGGCTCTGCTCCCTCCGGTGCCGCCTCGCTTCCTCTATCGCTGGTTTCGTTGGCACCGCTGATTCTCTCCTGCGGCTCTTCAAGTTCCCCCTTATCCCACCACTGGCCCTGGGAAGGGTCACAACTAGGTCTTATTTTTGGGGTAGGTCTTATATTTTAGCAATTCCCAAAAATAGTACTAGGTCTTCATTTCGGGGTAGGTCTTATTTTCGGGGAAACAGGGTAGTAACTCGTACTATGTCCAGTTTTTTACAAACAGTCAGCAATCACTGATCTCTGAATGCTTGTACCGCTCTCCATCCTGGATCGGCTGTCACAGGAAGCTGAGCCGGCAGTGCGGGTGTCAGAGACCTGCTGCTTCTGCGCATGCGCCAAGCCGGGGTTCCCGTAAAGGGGCCTGTGCGCATGCGCGCGCCAAGGACTGTCCGCGGAAAGACGCTCTCCAAAAGGCTCACAGGAAGTGATGCTATCCAAAAGACTCACAGGAAGTGATGCTATCCAAAAGGCTCACAGGAAGTGACACTCTCCAAAAGGCTCACAGGAAGTGATGCTATCCAAATCATTTCCTTCACTATTTAAACCCAGACTCCACACCTACTCATTGCTGGATTGTCTCTTCAACCGCCCTGACGTCTCCTGATCCTTGTTTCCAGTACCATTGATTATCGACCCGGATTGACTTTGACCTTGTTTGCCTGCAGCCTGCCTTTGACCTCGGAACGTTTGACCATTCTTGTTTGCCTATACCCTTGACCTCGGATTGCTTTACTGGACTGCCTACGCCTTCTCCTTTTGTACTTGCTCGGTGTGACCTCGGCCTGTTGACCTCGGATATCAAGATTTACAAGACCCTGCCGCAAACCAAGGAGTGGCCTGCACGGTGGAACCACTTCTGGCCATCCTGCCACTCACTGTCTATAAGGACTCTGTCCCCAATACCAGAGTCCCTAGGACACGAGCTGCAAGGGAAGCCTCCTCCTACATCCAGTCTCCGCACAGGTACGTGATAGCGGGGAGGAGAACTCGGTCTATTTTGACAGTTGACTCCTCCCCCTCACCGCCGATTCAGGCTCCTGTGACAACGCATGGCTCTCTTGGCCCCCTCTGATCCATCAGAGGAGGTTGAGTGGGGGCAGTGCAGGTGAAGAGCCCGGCCTCCTGTGACATCTCAGCTCACAGCACTCTCTTCCCCCTACCCTCTCGGCCTCCTCTGACAGTTTCTCTCTTCCCCTGAGATGAACTACAATTTCAACTAAAAGATGGCACTTTTGGCATTTTGCCTAGTCCTAGTCCTAACATACTTCCTGTCCTAGGGTGACAACACTGCTCCTCCATAAATAAAGTACGGTGGATAAACGTTGTCGCCTTAGGACAGAATCACAAGCTGAAAATAAATGGAGTAAAGCCCTAAAAAAGAAAACTAAGGCACCACCACATCTAAAAAGGACTGGTAAACTGCAATATAAAAACGTTTACTGTACTTTACACATAGGGGACAAGTGACAACTATGCAGGGAAGAGAGACGGGTCGGGGCAGGTCCGGTCAATGAGAGGAATTAAAGGAGAACTATGGGGTTAAGGCTTTTCCCCATAGTTCTCCTTAGGGTAACGGGAGGACGGGATGAATTATATCTGGATCCGCCCAGCTGCGTGAGCGACAGCTGGCTCTGCCTATCTAGAGGCAGAGCCAGCTGTACCCGCCCCCTCCCCCGTCCGATCCGCCAGTCAGCGTTGGCGCATCGGAGCGGGGACGGGGGAATCCAGCTCCTCCCCTGTCACGGCAGAGAGCTGTGACAGGATCGAGAGGTGAGTGAACGCCGGTATGTGTTCACTCACTTCTCGATCTACTGAGCCGACCTGTGACAGTCTCATTGTCACAGGTCGGCTAGGACTATGAGATGAGTGAAAAGCACCAACCTCAAAGTTCTCCTTTTAAGGGAGATTTGTACATCATTTAAGGATGTGACAGGCTGAGAGGGGTAATAAAACTGGGTGAGTACCTGGAGGCTGTGTGGGCTTTGCATGGTCTATGGTGGCCTGTGTAGGGTCTTTGGAGGCTGTGCGGGGTCTATGATGGGCTGTGCGGGGTCTATGATGGGCTGCGCAGGCTCTTGGGAGGCTGTGCGGGGTCTATGATGGGCTGCGCAGGCTCTTTCAGGAGGCTGTGCGGGGTCTATGATGGGCTGCGCAGGCTCTTAGGAGGCTGTGCAGGGTCTATGATGGGCTGTGCAGGCTCTTAGGAGGCTGAGCGGGGTCTATGGTGGAGCTAAGCAGGTTCTCACTAGGGTCCGATTAGTCGAGGGAGGGTGGGGGTGGCATGAAGGGAGGAGGAGGAAATGTGCGACCGGCGCTGCAAACAGGTGCCACAATTCACAGGAAGGCTGCCAAGGTCCCCGCTTACTGGGAACCTCAGAAGCCTTCATGTGAACTGGCGACTGTTTACAGCACCAGCTTCAGTTTAAAAATGTAAATTGGCATATGGTTTCGGGGCATTTTCCTGAGCACTCATGAAAATGCCCCGAGTCCCCCTGCCCACTCACACACAGGTGGCGCTCCTCTGTGGATGCCTAGCGGGAAATTTAGCCTTGCTGACCAATCATCTTTAGATCTACTAAAAACTATGTCATATCAGGGACTACTAGATCTCTCCAATTCATTTACATCCAATCAGCCAGGCTCCTGTACTTCATACTTGTAGATATAAAGGACACTGTACAATTAGATTGTAAGCTGTGTGATGATCTTTTGACTGATTTTACACTGCCTACAAGCTGTAGGTTACATCGCACTGACACTTCAGAACTGTAGCCTGCACTGACAGGACACACATTAATGCGCATGCGCATGCGAAAGCAGATGTATGACGGGCGGGCGGAGTAATAGGGATGCCGATTACGTGAGGGGGTGGAGGTGTGGGCGGGCCGTCCCGTCTTCTCTGTCTAGCTCCGCCTTCTTCATTGAGTCTGCTTGCGCCGGCGGCGGCAGCAGCAGCACTTTTGGGTTTTCCGTGCCGTGTCACTGCGCCGATCTGCGTTCCCCTCACCTCCCGTCCCCGTTGTCACCGGGCGCCTCCAGACAGTCCGAGCCGTGCGGGAGAGGAGGAAAAACTTCCAGCTCCGTGTTCTGTATGCAGCTGCATTATAAGTGCCTGGGGCAGAGGAAGAAGTCACAGTGTGTGCCAGCTGTGAGGGCATCTGGACCATCCTGAGCGTCACCCGGGGCAACCGCAGTATTAGGAATGGAGCAGTGACAGCTCCCCACACTCTTCTATCAGCATCACCCCCCATAGACAAAGAGCTGTGACCCCCCTCCTCCACACCACCCACCGGGCTACACTGCCAGGAGCCTTCCCTGGATGGGGGGTATACAATAACCCTGGACATGTTGGGGGGCTTAGTCACCTCTCTGTTTTGTCCCATCCATGGATTATGACTACAACTCCCATCATCATCTCTGGACATGTCCTGCACTGCTCTTCTAAGTGATAAGTGCCAGGATCTAGGATTCCACTAATCACCTTCCATCATCCTCCAGAACTACAACCAATAACTCCTCTATCATGTAAGATTGTTTGGAGAGGCTCTGGAGAAAATCTGCTTGTATCTTCCCTGATAAGGGAAAGACATTTTCTATCTTCTCCTCTTTTCTAGCAAACCATTGTTTTTTTCTGGACTAGTTATAAAAGAAAAAAAATGATCACCAGCCGGTGTCTCCGGTATGTCAACTGTTTGCCTTTACTGGTCCTGTTGCCTTGCTCTGTGGTCCATGGTGGCTCTGAGACCACCAGTGTGGATTATTACAATGCCATTGTCAATGTGACAGCGCAGGAGCCAGGCAGCAAATCCGCGCTGAACGGTGGGCGCTACGGGCTGGACTCCCCCGTAACTGAAGCCAAAGGGATCGTTGTGACCCCCGTCAACCTTCAAGGAGGTATTTGTACTATAATCCTTTATTCCGTAGCCGTCTGCAGGGTCTGGTTTTGTCTGGAGAGTTACGCTGATAGCTAAAGTGTATCCAAAGTGCAAACTTTTTGTTTGTTTGTTGTGAATAGAGTGGGGAAGGGAGGAAACCGCTGTGAGCTTACCTTTGGTTGTTGTCCCCGTGGGGAGATTTCCCCTTAACTTCCTGTCCAGGAGATGCAACAGGAAGTGAGAGAAAAATCCCTATAAAATCAGAACAATTCCTCTTTTAGTTGTCACCGGAATTTCTTTCTTAGACGTTGTCCCCATTGGAAGATTTCTCCTCGCCTCTTCTTCCGGTGACCACTCTACATTTTCAATTTCCTGTAACTTTCTGGAAGAGAGAGAACCTTCCCGCAGACAGCAGTAAAAACGTGGCGACGGCTTATCCTTCCCCGTCCAGACCTAAAAAATAATAATAATTTGGCTTTACATACCCTCAAATCAGAGATACACTAGATTGGGTTATGTATGTGTGTGTGTGTGTGTGTGTGTGTATGTATATAGATATATCTATAGATATCTCCGATATATCTATAGATAGATATATCTATATATAAAATGTGTGTGTGTATATATTGGCTCCCATACATATTGATCTTGCACAGAATTGGATTGAAGATTGTTGATGTAAATGTCTCCAGCGTGCTGGAATCTTTAGCGCTCCCCCGTTCTCAGTTGGCCGTCTGTGACATACGTTATGGGATTGTCCCACAAGCGGTGCTGAAAAGGTTCATGATGACGGGTCTGGTGGATGACCCCTAGATCTTATGTATGGTGCGGCAGGCTGGGGGACGATCCGACTAGCGAACGCTTATTCAAAGCAGCGCCAACTTTAAACTGGTATGGTGTAAGCGCACGTGTTAATTGAAGATTGAAGTGTAAGTAGAGACCCCAGGCGCCCAGCTTTTCTTGGGGGGGAACAATAGCGATCAGCTAAAAAAGAAAAAGAAATCCTCCGAGTGACTATTGTCCCATCGGCGGTGGAGCGGCGTACGCTTTTACTCAGACATAGCGAATTCGGCTGAGTCAAGCAACAGTTCTCATGCGTCTGTAGATATGGAGTACAAGCCTTTGCGTCTGCATTGCCCCCATTATGTCTGGTAGACGGAGCTGTCTAGTCTTGGAGGATTGTAATTAGGTCTGAGTAGAAATCTCGGACTTTTTGATCAAACATTGCCGCAAGCAGCGATCTTCCTGAACCCAGAGCAGGTAATAGGATTTCCCCATGCATCAGACCTGATCAGTCACATCAGTGAAGATGATGGCAGGTTATTGCACTATACCTATTGCTCTTTGGCGTATTGAATAATAACCTGTATTCATGGTTTTCTGTATTGTACTGTATGCTAAAATACATTCCAATAATAAAAGAAAGAAAAGTAATAAGCAGCAAAGATCAGGTGACAGATTGATGGAAGTCGGTGAAGGTCCAGAGCAATGAGGTCATCATATACACAGGATCCTCATCTCGGAGGTGGCATAGATCTATGTACAATGTGTGCCATCAGCTACAAAGTTACCCGTCAGGATTTGTCGTCGCATTTAGTGATTATGCTGAAGATGGTGGCGGCCACCAGGGACTTATCTCACATTCATGTTTCACTTGTTTAAATGAGATTATAAGCTTGCTTTACTGCAATTGAAGATGCCATGCTTCCCAGTTCAGTAGCATTTCTGGCGCGCTGTGTCATCATAGCCCTGATTTCCATTTCCTATATTTATTATAAGATTTTATCATCATACGTGTGTTCATCTGCCTTGGGATAATTCGTTACCCTTGGCACACCTTCTGTTCAGACACTTGTTCGGCAAGGGTGACCAGACACAGCTTGGTAAATAGAGCTGAAAAGCACTTCTGTGCGTCTGGAGCAGATGGGATCGCACGCAAGGAATTTCTGATCAGTTTTATGGTTTCTGTGACCGATCAATGATTGTACCATGTTCTACAAAGAGAACAACCGTACAGTATGCCAGGCTGGAATATTTCTTCAGGAGGCCACATTACATCTCCTGAGGGCCACACCTACTTTCATATAAAGATTATAGCATGTTGGTAACATTATATTAGGAATGTACGATACCATTTTTTCCAGACCGAGTACTGATACTTTTCCTCAAGTACTCACCAATACTAATTACCAATACTGTGACAGTTTTTCTGAAACAATACAAACTAATGATTTCAGGACAGTGGTGGAGCACCAGGGCCTGGTCGCAGCTGCAACATCTGCAACCCTGGTAGTTCTGGCACTTACTCCAAGCTGTAGAAGGACTACAAATCCCAGCAATACATTATATAGGAATGCAGAATACCACCAACTAGAGAGGACTACAAATTCCAGCAAAACATTGTACAGCAATGCAGAATAATTTTAAGTTAGATACTCTGTGTTGTTCAGCAGGGCTGTGTGGGGTCTCAGGAGGCTGTGTGGGGTCTCGCCAGGGCTGTGCATGCATCTCAGCAGGCCTGTGCGGTCTCACCAGGGCTGCGTGCAGAATCTCACCAAGGCTGTGCGGTCTCAACTCATGCAACCCTGGTAACTCTGCCACTTACTCCAAGCTGTAGGGGGACAACAAATCCCAGCGATACATTATATAGGAATGCAGAATACCACCAACTAGAGAGGACTACAAATTCCAGCAAAACATTGTACAGCAATGCAGAATAATTTTAAGTTAGATACTCTGTGTTGTTCAGCAGGGCTGTGTGGGGTCTCAGGAGGCTGTGTGGTGTCTGACCAGGGCTGTGTGGGGTCTCACCAGGACTGTGAATGGCATCTCTCCAGGCTTGTGCGGCCTCACCATGGCTGCGTGCAGAGTCTCACCAAGGCTGTGCGGTCTCACCGGGGCTGTACGCAGGGTCTCAACTCATGCAACCCTGGTAGTTCTGCCACTTACTCCAAGCTGTAGAGGGACTACAAATCCCAGTGATACATTATATAGGGATGGAGAATACCACCAACTAGAGAGGACTACAAATCCCAGCAATACATAGTACAGCAATGCAGAAAAACTTGAAGTTAGATACTCTGTGTTGTTCAGCAGGGCTTTGTGGGGTCTCAGGAGGTTGTGTGGTGTCTGACCAGGCCTGTGTGGTCTCACTGGGGCTGCGTGCCGGGTCCCAACAGGGCTGCATGAAGCGTGGGACCTTAGCGCATTTAATTCACGGGTACTTGTGAATTTGCCTATTATCGGCACCAATACAGATACTGGTATCGGTGCATCCCTACATTATGCTAATAATCGCAGTTCGTAATAATTTATCCTGAAGAAAAAAAGAGCTTTAAAACATTTCCTAACATACCAGGGTACAACATTATTTGTGTAGCCTTTATAAGCTGTTAAAGGGAACCTTTTGTATTTTTGGTATTTCTCATTCCCCCTCCTTTCACATGCTTGCATATATATATATATATATATATATAATCTGCTTGGGGCCCAGCCAGCACTAACGCGTTTCTTGCCTAGATGAGAATGACGTAGCTGCCAGCTGCCCTCGAGCTCCTGGGATACCCATGTCACTCATCCCAGGAGGCTTCAGGGCAATCTATAGACACCGTGCATACGTGCATACTCCACAGCACAACATCAGGGGACAGGCTGTAAGAACCCAGAAGAGACAGCCGTCTCCTGTTTACTTAAGCAAAGAAGATGGTTGCAAGGGCCCTGGCATGCACAGGCAGATCGGTGGATTACAACAGGACAACGCAAAGAAGATGGCAGCATGGGACCTGGTGTGTGGGGGCAGATTGGTGCATTACGGCAGGACAACGCAAAGAAGATGGCAGCATGGGACCTGGTGTGTGGGGGCAGATTGGTGCATTACGGCAGGACAATGCAAAGAAGATGGCAGCATGGGACCTGGTGTGTGGGTGCAGATTGGTGCATTACGGCAGGACAATGCAAAGAAGATGGCAGCATTGGACCTGGTATGCGGGAGCAGATTGGTGGATTAGCAGGACAACGCTGTATGTGTTTTGTACAGGGCTGGCCAAATCCCAGGAGCCAGGTATTCAATGCTCATTAACATTTGCAGCTGGTGCTCAACTCTGGAGTGTTTCTCTAGTTGCCCATAGAGATGGGGCCTAAAAATCCTGCTGGCTCCTTTGTTGGACATACTGGCTCCTGAATGACATATTCATTTGTCCATCCCTAGTTATGAGGATATCAGAGTAAGAGGGGGGTTATAGAACACACAGGGGGATGAAGTTCCTTTTTAACCCACTGAGGTCTGCAAAGAAGTGAGAGGGCCATATTTAGCCTAGAATACACCAGTGTGACCTACGTGGTTCAGCGGATGTTTCCAGAGAAGACTGCTTGCGGATCCTAGAGCGGGTATGTTAAACAAGTATTTTATGGGCCATACGCCCCCCTCACTCCTTCTTTGTGGCCCTCGGTTTATTGATTCAAACTTGAATCAGACTCCAGATGATTTCTCATACTGTATGTATAGTATGTGCTATATAAATTAGGGATGCACCGATACCAGTATCTCTGCAGATACTGGGCATTTTCACGAGTACTCACACTCATTAAAATTCCCCGATGCCAAAAAACGATAGCAGCACTTTAAGTCTTCAAATTAAAGCGGCTGCCTTAGGTCCAGTGTTTGGAACCACACAGGACCTGTTTACGGCACTTCTGCCAGCCCGCACATCTCCCCCTCCTGAGACCCTCCGCCCAAGACATCAGGCTGGCAGCTCGGAGCAGAGCTGCAGCACAGAGTATGTAGCATAGTATAAATTCATATACTATTATTGGTATAAATTCATATGCTATTATTCTGCATTGCGGATTTATAGTCCTCTACAGCCAGTGCCCTTCTGCATTGCGGTATAATGTATTGCTGGGATTTGTAGTCCTGTATAGCTGATGGTATTATTCTACATAGCTGTATAATGTATAGCTGAGATTTGTAGTCCTCTATAGCTGATTGCCATTTGGCTTTGCTGTATAATGTATTGCTGG